TGTGCGGGCTGCACCGAGGAGCTTCGAGCAGCGATAATATCGTCGGGACACGACCTTGAGCTGTGGCACACCGTGGACCACGAGAGGCGTGCACTTCTTACAGTGCAACGCAGAGCCGACGTACTCAAGGCCCGGTGGGCCGAGAGCGAACGGAAAGACCGGCAGGTGGGGTGCGCATGGTGTCAAAGGATTGGTTGATGTGCGCAATTGCGGTCTGAACTAGAGCCTAGTTGTAGGTAGCCCCATGTGTACACTGCGAAGGAACAGATTCGCCTTTGACTGTCCTGTTTTGCTTGTCTTCTGCGTCTGGGCTTAGGTCTGCCTTACCTGCGCTGTATCCTCCACCAACATCACACAACCGTTTCTCGCCGAATGTAGGTTTCTGAGCTTCTTCGTCTCATTTCCGACGCCAATCTTGACGCCTTTAGCCGACACTCTCTCGAGGATCGTGCCAAGGCCGCCCAAAACCTTCAGGTGCGCCGTAGTAGCAGTTTCTACCGCTGCTCCGTTTGTTTTTAGGGAGTTTCGTGAACCTCATCCGTGCAATATTTGATGTTCAGAGTGTGAACCTAGGACGCCTGTTTCGACGGAACAATGGAAAAACTTGGATGCTCCTGGTGAAATGCACGCCTCCCTTGGCCCTTTTGCGAGAACCAATGTCATCTGGGAAGATGAAGCCCATGTCACCAGTACAACGCGGGAGGATTGAGAGAAACCGATGTTGGTGCCCCGTATGGATCCGGAGTGAATCCTCTACAAAATGGGTTTGGAGAGCGTTACCGTCCACCTTATGCATAGATTTCTTCAAAATATTTTCAGTGGCAATCTCTTCTGGCGCTGTCATGTCCTGCGCACTCTGCGCACAGAACGAGAAGCACGACAGGTGTGCACGCTGATTTTGCTCAGATCGCCTCCCGGCTTCGTTGTGCCACGGCTCACATCTAATTGTATCGCCCAGGCGGCGGAGGTCAGACGGATGCTAGATCTGAAGCTATTCCACGCTGCCGCGGTCAATAGTGGAGCGTGCAAGGACGAAGGATTGAAGACCTTGAACGAGCGGGAGGCCACCGCATGGGCAGCGAAACTGAGGTCAGACTCCACTCACTGCTGCGCTTGGCACAGCCAACCCGTTTTCCACATGTTCTTCACACACAAGATGTCCTGCAAAATGACGGTCGGAGTGAATAGTTCTCAGCGGAATTGGTTCAGACGACAAGTACAGTTCCTCCATTAACTTGATCTTCCGCTTGCGCACTTGCCTGTGCTTGCTCGCCGGGCACTTGAACAGGTTGAAAGCAGCCTTGAACATGGACAGGCACTACGCCTCGTTGGAGCCCGGGGGACTTCCAGCGTCCCTGCGGCGGAGGAACCCAACCTCGAGCCAACCTTCGGATTTTCTAGACGACGGCACCCCGGCGACGCCCCAGGGCGCAATGCAGACGTTTGGGCGCGCCTGCCCGCCGGCGGACAATGAGTCTGGTGCTATTCGACTCTGGAAACGAGGTGAGAGCCATAAAACGAAGCCATTCACAAAAATTATGATCGTTTGATCTTGCACCTCGGTCGGTCAAGAATCTGAAAGCGACAAATGAAAGAAGATATCTCGCTGTCGTTGTAGTAGCGCTCGTCGCGGTTCTTTGAAACGGACGCCGAACAGTTTTTGTAGAGGGGGCTTGATAAGCGAGAAATATCACGAACCTGTCGTTCTTTGGTCAGTTGCCCCTCGACGATTTTCTGGGTGGGATAAAATATTGGTGACTTGACGCTTTCGCTCAAGAATTATTTTATATCCTTAGGATCCTCAGGAACAATTAGCTATACTGAATTCCCGCCGATGCAATTCATACCTCGCTCTGGCTACATTTTCACCCAGCAACATTGAGACTCTATTAATCCTTACTCTTACATGCTATTGGTACAATGATGTAGAGTAACTAGACATCTTGGGCGCTCGGCGTTTTATTGGCGTGAAGTCGCCGTCGGCTGTCTTGGGGGGCGTTTTTCCGCAATCCCTGGAGAGACGCGCTGCTGAAGGCGTCTTTTGATTATCTACACGCCAGTAATGTGGTTGGCTCGTTGGCGTAGTACGTCTTTTGGCGCTTTTCAACCACACAATCAACCTGACGTTGGTACCCCGACGTATTGACGACGTGCTGTACTTGGTCTTGGAACCCAAAGGGGCCAAGAAAACCGAGGAAGTACTCAATTTTCGACGAGACGTGCGAGAGTGGCAGACTTCTTGCGGGAGACGGGCACGCTTCTCGTACCTGTGCGAGCGATGGGTCGGTGTAGCCTCTGAAATCGAAGAAAAGCAGAGGCAGAAGCGGATGTGAGTTGAGATATTTGTGGAGAACGGTCTTCTGTCGGATTGACTAGTTTGATAGCCTTTTCGTGTAGAGTTGGGTCACACCCGATGACAGCACGCTTCGAAGCAGTTGGCAAAGATCCGCTCCAGACGAAAATGAACCATTTGAACAACCGTTTACAACAGTCGGACACAATATCCATATCCCGCACCCGGCACTCACTACAGAATGCGTACCTGAATGAAAACCAGGATTGAAGCCGCGGAACGCGAAAAACGCATGAAGGAGAGGCAAGCAGCGAAACTGCTGCGCAAGCGTCAGCTCGCTGAGCTTCGCGCCAACGCTGGCTCCAGGGCAACCGGGGAAGAGCGGAGGAAGGTCGAGAGGGACAAGGAGGCGGAAGAGAGAAAGCGGTTGGAAGGGGAAGAGCTGGAGCGAATGAGCCGGGAGGAAGCCGCACAGCTCGCGCGGGGAGACAGGTGCGGTTCGAAATCGACACTTTATTTGCTTCAAATCCTTTCGTGGTTTTGATCTCGTGTACGGTGTTGTCGCCATCCCCGAATTACTGTACGCAAGCCTATACTTTAGACTCATACCCATGGATGTTTGCCTTGCTGTCGTCGAATACTGAACGCGATGGTGCCTGAGTTTGGTGGGACACACTGCAAACGTGGGCTCGCTCTGCCCGTCTACCGATTGTACGGGAAGGGATATCTAGTGGAGTATTGGAGGATGTGTCGGATGCTGTCGTCCAGAGGACGTCTTGTGTCGCTGACCGGGCGTATTCTAGAGGTCAAGAGCTAGAGTTGTTCGGTCTACTCTCAGTCAATATCTTGCAAGTTCCAATGTTTTCAACATGAGAAGTGTCTGCACCACTCCACGAGCGACAGATCTAGATGACCACAACACGAACGTTTAGGGCGTGTGCCTACAACCTTTTGGTGATGGTGCTCTACTCAGATATTGGGGGCTCATTCGCGAGTTGCAGCGGCTCCGCGTTATTGAAGAGGAACGGCGGCAAGCTTGGGAAGTGGGAATCAGAGCGACCAAGGAGAAGATGATAGCAGTCCGGTGAGTATGTGGGTACTGACTCAAGCCCATACCCGGGTCCCGGTTCATCTCACCCCCCGCCAGGTCTAACGTGTTCCAATTTCTTCACAGAGGTAGAAACCATGCTTTGCTTCCCAGCTTTTCGCCAATTAGAGTGGGAATGGACGTGGACAGGGTCCGAAACAGTGTAGTCGTCACTGGGTCACATGCTTGCCTTTCTTTCGCCCCATCCTCCTCCTCCTCCTCTCTCTATCTCTCCCCCTCCCACTTTCTCGTCTGGTTCTCTTCTTTCAATCTGTACCGTTAGTCTGGATCCCCCTAGCCAAATTGTGCGTGGGTCTGTGATGGGAAACGCTCGCCATCATTCTGACCGATCGCGCGAGCGCCAACTACCACAGTTGACCGGTGCATGTATGGTTTGCTCTTCGAGAGATATACGTCCGACTTCTGGCCTACGTTCCTTGAAGCGCTATCATGACAATCTTGTTAACCATAGAGTGCACGGCTCGCGACGACAACGCTTGTGTGCGCTTCTCTTGCCCCCAGGTGCATATCGGAGCTGAGCGACTTCACCCACGCGACACCACCGATCGACCCGGAGCTCCAGCAGCAGATTGACCGGTTGTTGAAGATCTAGTATCGTGTCGAGCATCCGCTGAAGTGGAGAAGTTGGTTGATAAGCGCTCGCCGACGAAGTCCAATGGCTGAACACAGTATGGATAGAGGGGTGCACCGAACAAAATCACTGAAAATCTATCGTCAGTTGCAGCACTGTGCGTGGGAACTTCAGGGTTGAGGTTATGAAGAGATCTATCGGGTTGTGGTGGGGTTGTGGGTACGATACCGCCAATTTTCTTGGGACGATGCCTCTTGCGCTTCACGGACGAAGAGTTACGGCCGTTTGAGAGCACGGTAAGAGTCAATATTGGGTAAGGTGAGCAAGCGGCTGGTTGACCTATTTTTCGAAAGAGCAGCACTGAAACCTCCTACCTTCCCGGCGACGCAACACTTCCCCAACCTCCTTCCTCGAAAGTCTCGGACTTCGTGTGTACGCAGGGAAAGGCTACTCCTTGCGCGCTCTTATGAAGCAATCGCTCGTCGCAGTGAAGCCCACCACTGACCTCAAGCTACCCTCGCTCAGGCAGCAAGTTGTATTTGGTCGTCGAACTATGATAGAGGTTCGTATTTAGGGCGCGGATCGCGACTTCGCCAAAAGTCATCCCGATTGCCTCGCGGTTAGCACTAGCAGGTTGGAACTCGATCATCTTTTGGAGAAAAAAAAACGTTGCAACTTACGGTGGGAAACGATTTTCTCGCGGCCGACGAGAGAACGACACAGCTGACCCCTTTTCACGTGACAAAGGCCACAATGCAAGCAACCCAAAATGTCAGGTGGGGTGTAAAGCAACATTTACAATTCAACAGCTCCTATGTGACCCCCGCGCACACGAAAAACACATACACCAAAGCGTGTGTAGACTGTCGCCAGAATGGACTGGACTAACACACTTAAAAATGCAAAATAGACGTGAGGCTCGATGGGGAAGAACCACTGAACCCTTGTCGGGAAAACAACAAACGCATACACCATAGGAGGCACGGCAGGCAATAAAGAAAGTATCATTTCAAATTGCAAATGCTCCTGTTTGATCTATTTCTTGTGTAGCCCCGTCTGACACGTCAAGCATATTCACCGACGAGGTGTGTCGACTGGCGCCAGGATCAATACGTCCCCAGCTTATCCCTATCCTCTAGCTGCCTCGTTCGTGCCAGCAGTGTCATTCTTGGTCGCCGAATTGTGTGCGTCCTTTTCGTCTTGCAAGTCTTTCTGCATTGCCGCGAAGGGGTCGTCCTCGTCCTCCTCCAGGTCGCTCCCCATGGAACCGATACTAGCGCTGAACTGGTCGGAAGAAACGTCGCTGGAACGCCCATCTGCATATCTCTCGTCCCCTCCGTCCGCACCGTCTTCCTCGCGGTGCTTTTTTCGTGCGCCCTGTGCGTCGACGTCGCCGTCGCCGTGGTCTTTTCCGCGTGTCGACGTGTTACCAATCATGACAAACCGCATGCGGGTAAAAAGCTTGATTTTAGGCCCACGCAATAATCGGGGACGTGGTCTTGGTGGCGGTTACTGCAAGCGTATGTTGCAGGTACCAGAATCTCGCACCTAGTAGTTTACACAAAAAATACTGCTTGTACTGTCGTTGGGCACGAGGCTCAACAGATGTGCATGTCACCTCATTACCTTTTGTTGCAAAGACCGAGAACAAGAAGTCCGGCCTGACCTACCTTTTTCTCCTTCGTCAGCGTTGACTCCGTCCTCGAACGTAGGCGTCGACTCTGGATCGAGGAAATCTTTCTCGGGGATGAGGACGAGTTCCACCTCGGCGTCGGGGTCCTGGGGAAGGGTGAATAGGATGTGTTCAGAACGAAAAGCTGCTTGAGACGGTGCTCGAGAGTTCATGGAGCATGGAGCGTAGGTGACGGTCATGATGAGATAGAATCCCTCCCACCACCGTTTTCAGGGTCGCCGCGATGTTTCTCGTGTCGTACATGCTTCCGGCATCGAGGGAGCCCATTCGTTCATGGACAGGCTGATGGTTGTCGGGTTGTGTGCCGCGCAGGTGTTTCGTTCGAGGTGGAAATAAACAACTTCCACGTCGACCTTGTGGCCTTGCGATGTGGTACGCCAACAACGATAAAAAACCAAACAAATCATCATGGCGCATGAAAAATCCACGCCCTGATTTATACTCCATCCTTAGCTCCTCCCATCGTGACAACCCTATGGCGTTTTTCGCGACAGGCCACATTTAATTTTCAACTCGTCGGTTCTACATGAACAATTAATCCCCCGATCATGTTCTTTCTAGTGCACAGGTGCACCTTCTATTCTCACCGTTCTACTCCTCTCGTCCTGTACGAAAATCACGGACTCGGTGTCGCGGGTGGCCTTATTAATACGCTCTTGCACCATGTCCATTGCCGTCGCGTTCTGCTTGCCCCCTTCCCTGTTCCGCCTGACTACCGTGCCCGTCGCATCTTCCATGACGAAGTGATCTCCCTAACAACGGTATACGGAAGGGCGGAACACGACCAACAGGTCGCAGCGATCCACATATCTTGGTTGTGGAGCCTTTTTTTTCTGTCGTCATCCACTCCGTGGGCTTTGACTCTCATTTTGTCTTTACCTCGCGATCGGAACTACCCCGAATGACCTACGTTTCCTATGGGAAATACAGTCTGAACAACTCCTTTTCCACGCGAGAAAACCCGGTCGTTGGTGGAAGGTATCACGGTCTTTGCTACCACTGCCTTGAGTTCATGGCTATTGCGTGTGCTCCTATCCGAATGAATTCCATGGGCACTCGTTGACCCCCATTCCTCACAACTCGGGCACATCTGCAGTCCGACACGCACTCGTGCGGACCCGATTCGCAAACTATGCAAAGCTCTTAGATAACTCGTGGTAACATGCTGCCACGCGCCTTGGTTTCATGAGACTATGTGCTGGTAGTAGCTCCACGTGCTTTTACCTTGGCGTGCTCGTTTAACCAACCGCCGCAGAATCGCCTTATGAACTCCCTCAGGACGGGGGTAGGGGTGTCCAGGTCGACCTTAATGTATCCCACCACCTGAACCACCTCGACAGCTGGCTCATTCGCAGCCTTCCCAGACCGGTGCATGATGATAACCTATCCATCCAGTAGTGGAACAAGGTGCAAGTTATCATTGGGTCGGCGGGCGGTGATGCGGTATTGAAATTCAAGTCTTGCACACGGTAAATTGCCTTGTACTTGGAGAACCCTCAAGGCGCCCCACACCTTTTGTACCGGAAAGATGTACTTCACAACCTCGATTGCTTGCGAAAGAAATGCTTCTGAGAATACACGTCACACCAGTTTCACAATGCAGCTACGAAAGTACATCTCACTCACCTTGGTCCTATCATCCGACTGCACCCACTTCTTGAACAGCTGCACAACCACCTCACGGCCCAGTTTGCCCCCGATTATCCCTTTTCCGTCTGCCCCCTGCGTGGAGGCCAGCCCCGTTGCTGCCGCAGACTTTGCGAAGTCGGTCATTTCTTGTAGACTGGGATTCAGAGTTCCGCCAAACAAAGCGAGGGAGAACGTTGCAACGGTTTCGTCTGTTTTCATGTTTCGCCTTGAACGCCACACTCTTAGGTCCCCCCGGCATGCGGGCTGCAGTATCCTATTCCGCTCTTCGCCTGCCGACATTTTATCGAACATCTGTCCCCCGTGCCCCAGATATTCAGGTGCACCCAGTGGTCCACCCTTGGGTATAGCACAGCCGGATGTATGCCCCATCCTTCCCTCCGCGGGAAGGGCTATTTGTTCGATTGTGGGATGCCGTAAGAATCCAGGAGCGCGGTACCCCTTTTTATCGAACAGGATAACCGACAACCAAGCACACAATGCGAGGACCGACGCTGTTGCACGGTGCAGCTGTTGCGGTAGATTGAATCTAATCCAGCTATTGCGCGCAAGCACACACACGCACCTGGTCCACAGCGCGAGCACAGATTCCACCGCCTCCATCACCCTTCTCTTCTCCGGTTGGAATCCTTCTTCAACGTCGAACAGCTTCCGCCTACGAAGCATGAGCCTCTTGGACCAGGCCTCGCTCCCCGCTGCCCATCGCTCAAGCCGCGCGTGCATGTTGCTGTCATCGTCGAACTTTGTCTGCTCGCGATCGGAAAATGCGGTGTTCAAGAATCCGAAAATGCTTGGCGCATGAGACTGAATGGCATGCCAAACACGTCATGTTTTCATGAAAAATCGGCTCTGGTACCAGGTACCAGATACAAGAGAGTTTGCCCCTAGCGTGCATGCATGTTTTCAAGGTATTCGTTCGGAATATACCGAAGGTATGCCGTTATGCGGCTCTCAAATAGTGATACGCGAGCACGCGAGTCTACCAGTCGCATCGTTGACCAGTTGTGGCTTTGAATGAGCAAACAATATTGGTTCACGCGTTTCTTGCTTCGATGGTGCATGAGTCCTTTCCGGGCCTACTCCAATGCGTATTATGACTCCCGCACCAGAACTACACACACCTTTGGTTAGTCGTACCTTCTTATTTGCTTGTTCTATTGTTTCAAGTTGACCGGAAGGCAGGGTAGGTTTTCTCTTGACGTCTTCTCGCAAGACCATCAGACTCCCGTTGGCCATACTCCAACGAACGGCCCTCGTCGACAACAAGCGGGGACCTCCGAAAATGTTCTCGTTGTGAAAAGTGCGGACAGCAAGGCCCGCACGCTAGGTTCCACGTAATTCGTGTTCAGGGCACCAGGTAGAATTTGACTCAACGACCACCCAATGTGTTTGCACTGCCCTTGGCCACAACTCCCGATATCGCCGCGTAGCAATCAGTGGATGGTCACGACGAAATTCATCTCGCTGCATGGGCTTGCTCCAGAGATTTGGGATGTGGTTTCCATTGTCATGACTTTGCTCTATTGAGCACTCCAGAACGCACCCTCCTTTTCTGAGTGGTAAGGCATCAGGACAGCAAAGACGACTAAATCCGTTGGGTCTGCATGCAGCGCTGCCTCAAGGATGTCATATTTCATGAACTTGCCTGCCACCTCTCCAGCCTGTCTCTGTGCTGATGCGTGCCAACAACGGCCACCTTAATCGCCACCTGCACGACGGAGCTGTCCCGTATGCCCGTACGCAGCACCATCAAGATCTGTGTTTGAAGGGAGATCGGTTCGAGGTCGGAGAACGGGAAAAGGACAGCGGTTAGTACACGAAGTGCTAGAGGAGCCCGAGTAGTCGATCAGCAAGAGTTGGTTGGATAGCTGCGCCGGGCGTTTTATCTGCCGTGCACTAGTTGTTGTCGATGCCCTGTTGTTGCACCACAACTATCGCCGGGACACCATCTAAATAGTGTCGTCGACGTAACGTGCGTCTAGGACAACGACAGACTGGTGCTCCAAGACATCCTGCACCACCACATATTTTCGCGATCGTTCTCCGGTTGTTTTGATTCGACCACGCTGGAACAAGTTGTGTTACAACCCGCAAATCAAGCTCGCCTTTTGGATTACGGGCAAGATAGGCATGGCGTAGGCTTGGCATAGAGGCGCTTCCTCCAGAAGCCACTGCCGATCAAGGATGAGCACTGGGGACGATTGTGCCTGTAGGGGTGACGGTAGGCATGGGCGTGCCGGGGCAGGGGGTAGGAGTCATTCGCCACTTTATCAACGCTAGCGGCCAAGGACACACTCGCAAGAATGCAACCTCATCGGAGTTGATGTCCCAAATACATGTTACCAAACCCGACTGCCTCGGAAAGGGAACAATGATAAGGCGCATGGTTCCAAAGCCAAGTCCGCAACGGGCCATGGGGAGAGTTCGAAGTAATCACGCTGTACGGCCTACGAGGGTATCCGCTAAAATAGTACGAGCATGGGGTGCAGCGAACTATCGGGGAGGGGAAACTTTCAGAACCTTGTCAATCACAGGCGAGCAGGCCACGGAATATGCCTGCGCCGTTGTCGAACCGACCTTATCCGCGTGCTTCGGGTCTGTTATTTCAAGAATGTGGTCATTGTCCAACAGCGAGTTGTATCAAGTTCCAACCAGCACCTCGTCGCTGTCGACGGCAGTCGTGCTTACCTTGAGATCACCCAAACTGTCTTCCCCGCCATCAGCACCAACCGCTGTACCACCCTCGTCAATACTCTCCGCCGGTGTCGTCGCAGCCGCTCCACTGCCCAATCCGGTTGCAGGCCGCTCCCTGGTATCTCCTGGCTCCTTCGATGCCAGATTTTCAGCCAAGGCTAATGCCGCCGTCGCCGCGGCCTTTTCCTTCTTGTCGCTCTGCCGCGACTCTTTTACACCAACTACGTAGAATGGGCCGAATGCATGCGATGGAGGACGGGGGCAAGCCCTCGTCCCCGCCTCCGGCAAGAAGTATACTGACGAAGGATCGGTGGGCTCCACGCGCACTCTCCTTCCGTACGGCATCCACTTGAGTACCTGTCATGCGGCTTGTTTTGTTTTGTTTTGTTTTATACCAGGAACATGAAGTTATTGGGAAAGACGAAACGAAACTTGTGCGAGGCACGCAGTGAAGGGAATTCAAACGTTACAAGATCCAAGTCTAGAGTGTTCGCAACACTTCCTGTGGAAAATCACGGTGACGTTGATCTCCTGATGTTTCCATGAAATAACACACACAAGATACACGAATACAGGTCGCGCAATTCGGCGACGAGGACCAGAACACAAACACTGAAAGTTACTGTCGCATCGCACCGAAGACTTTATCGTGTTTGAAACGGCGACCCCTCATGAGTGTTTGAAGTGCTATCGACGAAACCAGTGATGACAGCGGAGGTCATAAGTCGCACAGCAGGGTCTACGAGGCAAAGTTACAATTGTTGTGGAAAGCGGTGATGTGCTGGAGAACCCGAATGCCACCGTTCTTCAATAACGTGAACACTGCACACAACACACGACAAAACAGAATCACAGATAGCAGCATCACTCGCCTCTCGCATGTTCTGTCCCTTCTCCAGTCGGGCATTGGCCTTGCCCTTTTGCATTGACACTGGGAACGGCATGAGCATTCCCTTCGTTACCGCAGCTCTGACGTTGTTTCTCAAACGGAATGGGCCGATGAGCGCCTCCAGTGCGTTTTCGGCTGCTTTCACCCTTTCTTCCGCCTACGAATTATATCCACGTAAAGAGTCACAACAGCCATGGTGTTTCCTAGCAGTCGTCCAAGTGTCCCGTTGAACTCGTCGACGTAGCACCGACCGGGTTCTTTACTACTGGGGACAGAGTCGTGAATTCCGGCGCGCGATAAATCAAGATGTGGCCTTACCTTCTCCCGCTCTTGTTCTTGGTTTTGGACCGCGCGTTTCGCCTTTCGCGAATTCTGCTGCAGTTCATCTTTGTGGTCCGCGCTCACCCCTCCTTTCGCCCGAGCATGCTGCCGGGCGGAATCGAGAACAAATGTGGAGTGTGCGTGGAGAATAATGGTGGTGCAAATACTCCCGGAGCACATGCTCCAATGGGGGCGCTTGCAAATTTCCATCCCGCGGGGAGCGGTATGGGCGATTTCCTATCATCATTTTTTCATGGGCTCTTCATCATCTTCCGAGTTGAGGAGGTGGGATCTACCGCCTCGTTTCCGTCGGTTTTATTCCCTACGCTGTGTCTTATCTCGGGGTTGCTGGTAAGAGCGGTATTGTAGATCTCCATTAGTGGTGGACCTTTTCGGTGTACATTCGGTAGGTGGGTCGCATTCAACGTAGTAGCGTCTGACCCCGGAAGTTCGCTTCTTGTCCTGAGGAGCACACCAAAGGACATACTTGATGGATGTACGTCAGGTGTTATGTATAGACAACAGCGTCAAGGAGCTCCCGTTGTTGCAGGAACGAAGACGCCTCTCTCTGAACTTTGATGCACTCTCACCTTGTAAACCCCCACGGCTTTGTCTCGCAACCTCTCGTACTTGCGTTGCTTTCGCCTCGCCATTCGTAGCCGGAGCGATTCACCGCCTAACCTCAATCGCGCCGCATGCACCTTCCACCGGCCTTTTCGCTTGGTCTTCTTCGCGAAGAACTCCTGGGAGTAGCAGGGTTCACAACGCTTCTATAATCAGTATTTCGTAGTGGCAACGTGATAATATGTATTGAAAATGATGCCAAGAGCTAAATGTATGGATTCGAGTTGCAAGAGATCTCAGTTCTAACCCTTGGGATACTTGTAGAGCATCATGATGTGCAACCACCCTTCATTTGCTCAAAACCATGATAAACAATACGCACGTTTTCGCAACAACCCACAAGAAACGTTGCCTGATTCAAAGGAGTGGTTGCAGTTAATGGCATGGCGATAGCAGATTCATATGTCAAGAGTCAGACACCACTGTAACTCGCCTGTTCCCGGACCATCTTAGCCCCTTCGTGCCAGCCAAAGGTGGGTCTAACGATGTCCATGATCGTGGATTGCCACCACCTGAACACCGTCGACATCGAGCATTGTTAACAGGAACTCCAAGCGCAAGAAGGTAGGCGCGATCCAACCATAGGCGTGAATCCCTCACAGAAACACAGTGGATGCCCGTGGGCGGGGTGCCCATCAAACCCTAAAAACTCGATTCTCCATCGGAGATGTTCGCCGATTGTCTCACGCGAATATATCCACTGTAGCATATTTCCATGGATGGAACCCACACGACAAGGCAAGTCTTCACCGGTCGCTGTGCCGTTCTAGAAGATGAGGCGATCACCGGATCCCAATAAATATGTTCGGTACAAGTCCGATAATACCCAGAGCCCGCCTTCGCGAAGTTGACGTCCTGTCTGCTGTGAAGCACAGGCCAAAGATCGCTGTGTGTGTTCTCCTTCAATATCCTTCGTCTTTCGAAGGCACCGCTACCATCTCTCCTATCACAGTTGAGCGACTACGGGACGGAAGCTGTGGTTGAGGCGAGCCCGTATCTGCTGCTGAATTACTCCCACATGAATACCACAGCTAAATACACGGCCGTACCTTGGATATTGCTTGAGGACGATCTCCTGGTTCGTGTCGGACTTGAGAAGACGCGCCTTGCCGAAATAGCGAGCAACCTTGTACGTAAATTTCTTTCGGATCTGCTCGCAGGGTTGTCGGACGATCGATATGTATCGACGAAACTTGCACAACAATAGGCTTGTTGAGCATTTCAACATTCGGCAGACAGCAATACCGTTTCGAACGCACCGTATGCAAAGCTCCCCGCGGGCGATCCGGTTGCTTGGCCTAGACAAAAGTGAATGGATCACTTGCATTTGAATGGCAAGGACAAAAACCGTTTACCGGTGTCGGTGAAACCGAATGGCAAAAAAACGAAGAGAAAAGACAGAAGTTGGGTAAGCACCTTCTCCCGAGCCAGCGGTTGTGTGAAGCATATCAAATACAAAATTCAGTCGGTTGTTCCGAATTTCATTCCTTCGACGGCAGTTTCCTATCCGAAACACATACAGCAAACGAGCTGTTCCTCGAAATTGCATCAGCTGCACAAGCGGGGAACGCTTCCTCTACAACACTTTGTGGTGCATAAAGCAGGGCCTGCTGAAGATAGACGAAACTGCAGTGCAGACCTGCTCGAAAGAATCACTCTACATAACAATATATCGAGCCTCAGAATGGTTTGAACACTTGAAATGAAGAAAATACTGGTCGCAAATGCCGGCACCTCACTCAATTCTTGCCCTTGGCAGCAAGTAGGTGGTTTATGGTTGAGATACTGTCAGGCTTTGAATCATACTCAACGTATGCATTTCTCGCGTCTGGGCCAGCAAGTTGTTGCTTCTTCGTTCAAGCAATAACATGAAGGTAAAGCTGTTTGGGAGGATGGAGGACCATGTTGGTACGGAACCTGGCTTGTATTTGTCTCTCTCCTGTCCCTCAGGTCGGGTTGTACACGGAGAAATCGAGCTGAAGACTGTCTATATGCCTCTCCCGATGGTTGTTTCATACCTGATCGTCCTCGTGGCGTTGTATCTTCCATAGAAGGTGCTGATCCATCAAATGTCTTCGCCTCTTTCTCGCCAGGTAGCCCCTGCACACTGCCTGGAAAATGCAAAGGGAACAACGACCAGAATCGGCGAATTGGCCATGATCCGCTAAGTATTATATGGCCGACCTCTAAATTAACTGTTGTATAATGTAGTACAACAATACGCAAAATTGCCACCGGCGATGTCCGGTGACCACGTCAGCTTGTGCGGACTAGACCGATTCAGTTTAACGGCGGAAAGGCCCCAGTAGTGGCATTCACTTGCGGCATACGGAAAAGGCGTCCAATCACCTGGATTTTGATGGCAGCGGCAAGCATTTTCTTGTCTCTGGACCTCTTGCCGGCGGCCGCGGATTCCGCCTTCATCCAGAGCTCCCTCGCCCTCGACGATTGCTCTTCTTTCAAACACTTGACCTTTAGCGATCGGAGCCCTACCGCCTCGATCCTTTATTTATCCGAACGTCAAGAATGCTGAAATGAGGCAACTGTGTCGTCCATTCATTCACTATGGGGCATAGGCATGAAAGTCTACTTCAACGAAACGTGCAAAAAACAACAGCACCCGCCGCCCCGGAGACAGTACAAACACGAGTATACACCATACACAACGAACCAAAACAACGCATCGTTGAAAAACATCGGACGGTCAGCTGAAAACCTCAACTCCGCCCGATGGGGTGACAAAACCAACACCGAAACACCGATGCATTGACCATCGCCAACGACAAGGTGGACGGTGGAGATACCAGGTTCTAGACGACTGCGATGAAATGTTCGGTGGCATGAACTGCGTTCAAGCTGGAGACGGTATCCACACACCGGTGTTCGGCGAGTTGGTCAGGCAGCAGGTAGTGGTGGCGAGCTTCCAGGCACCTTTTGCAAAGAAGCAGACGTCCTTCCGCGTCGCACCCAAAGCACTGGAAAGCCTATTTTCCATCACGGCACACAATGTCGACGGCGACGGTAATATATAAATACTCTCAAGGAAATCGGAGTTTCAGGAATCATGTCGAGGACATACGCCACCGTCGGGAAGTACGCACCTGTCTTTGGCGTGTGCCCTCTAAAGGCAGCGATTCGCTCGGCTGCAACGGGAATCGAAGGGATACAAACAAGGAAATAGACTGCACGCGAAAACCATGCGATAACAACACCTTGCTTCATGTGTCGATAACAGCAAATCACAACGCCGAGCACTTCGAATGTCGTGGAAATGTCAAAATAGAAACCATTGAAGTGGGATAATGAACCAATGTCGAACCACAACGTCCTATGTACAGTATCAACATACCAAAGCGTCGCTCCGTTTTCCATCCCGTTGTTATCCCACGGCTCGTACACTACGCATCGCAATCTTCTCTAACTTTGAGCCCCCGTCCCATCATTGATGGCTGCCTTATCTATCCGTAAATCCGCGTGTACTCATTGCTGCACCTGTGCCCTGTCCCCGCAATCATGGCATATTCCAACGAGCGGCTCGAAGGTGTGGCGCCTTATTCTCCCTTTGCGGTGAAGGTACGCAAAGCAGGACACGCAAAAGTTGTCGCCGCACTGCTGGCAATGCTTCACGGCCACCTGTAGGTTAAACACAAAAAATGAGAGAGCGAGAGCGAACGGCTGCTCATCGTCGCACCCCGCGCACAGGAAAGAATGTGACTTCTTTTATCCTTGAGTACCGGCGAGAGCTTCCTCGATTTTTCAAATTGATGGTGAAAAATCTGTGCAAGTTCCGCCGATGGTCTCGACGGCTTGAGACATTTCGCTTACACCCGACCGTCGGCTAAAACTTGTGAGCAGTGAAAAGATGAAAGAGCCTCGCAATTGATCCGTTGTTGCCCACCGCATTGGCAATTCATGGTCTGGTATATACGTGTAGCAAGATTGTGTGGAAGATACGGTGGTGCCACCAGCAAGCTGTCAGTTTCGGAACAAGTTGCACAACATAGAAGGGTCGGTTTAGGATGTACTGAAGCATCTGTGGTGGGAATGCAATGCCACAAGTCCACAAACCACGAAAACTTCGCACGTACGAAATCAACCAAATCTGCACCGGTTTTTCTCGTACCTGAAAGCTGCATTCTTCACACATCTCGATCGGCACTCGGAGATGAGTGGAGGCATTGCCGGTGCGGTGGGTTCGGTCGACGCAGAGACGGCACAGCATGTCTTCGCCGCAGTCCGCGCAAATTCTGGAAAGAGCGCAACACAGCGGCACAAACCACGCATGAAAAGCGAATCCGCGTGATAATACGGACTACACAGGTGACGGCCTAGACTAAAGAACTCCAGAACTCAGTCAATTTCCCCCCCAAAATGCCCAATGCTGGGTGTGCATGTGAGGTACGCAGTACATGTCGCCGACGCATTCCGCGCAGATTTTCGGGGGCAAGCGGAGGGGCTTTCAGCGGCGTCGCATCGTGTTTTCTGGTTCTCCAACCTCATCTTCTACGCCATCGAGTGGCATATGCCCGTGCACGTCCTCGAGACTTGGTCTGTGAAAAAGTTGCGGGCCATGGTTTGGCACGAATTCAGCATCGATGTTTGCTGTTCGACCTTGTCACGCACTCACTCAGTGGCCACTTCTTCGGCGCACTCGTGGCACATCGGCACCATGATCTCCTCTCCCGCGGGGACGACGACCGCCGTGGAGATGTCGAACTTTCCCAGAATCTTAGGCTTCGCCCAAGACGACTTCCCTATCTCGAGGTTTTGCAGCAAAAGTCGCCAACAAAAACAACGAAAAGACACACGATAAACAGCATCCCAGGCTCTAGACATGGTGGGGAAGCTGAGCACCGAATGACACGGAAATATCGTAACGTTCCTACATGGGATGCCAAGAGTAGCCGCAACGGGTTCCATGGTAGGGTGAATGAAGCGACCGTTTCATGCAGCAAGCCGTGTGGTTATCATTTTCTTGACACGTATGGTCGGCACACTGCCAATATTCCCTGCCATGGCAAGAGACCATAGCAACGTCGTTCTCCGTCGCTTTCTTCCGTCGCTCCCTACCGGCGTGCTTCGTCATCCGGTTTCACACGAGCTACCAAATTGTAGTCGTTGTCCCTAACGAATCCTAGCAGTTCTCCACAAAGTCGGCAACTATATCTGGAAGGTTTGAATGCCTGAGATACTCGGCAACTCCACCTAGGAATTGCGTCAAAGGTTGATGATGTGGGTCGGTCGGCTGGCATGGATTTTTCGGCTGAGCTTTCTTCTCCGGTTCGTACACCCTCATATTCGATCCAGTTATCATCGAAATGTGCAGCTCTGTCTCTCCTTGTCTCTTCCGTGGTGAACAGCTGGCTCCTTGCCATTTTACCTGTCTTTGGGTCAAAATAGTACTCGGCCCCGGTGAGGCCGTCCAAGCACCGGTAGTACCGCTTCACCGCCATCTTGGCCGCTCGCGTCCGAGCCGCAAACGCCCGCATCCTGTAGTTGGAGAGGGAGGCGATTCGCAACAGATGAAGAACGGAGACATGGGTAAAACATTTGCTAGACTGGCTGCGAACCAACGCAGCAATGTCAACCACAAGGGCTAATCGTGGTCCATTGGACGCCTCCTGCAACAAATTCTAAGCGATCCATCCAAACATACTGTTCTTGCATACAATATATCTTCACGAATAGGGTCCTGAGAGTGAACCGTGCTACGCCCGGCCTCGTTTTGCTGTGCGTTTTCATCCACCTTGTTTGCAGCAGTGACGCAGCCCAGTTGAGCCTTGTATTATGCCTGTCAAGCTCCCGCCGCCCCGATGCCTCCCGCGCCAGTGCTCTCCCGGAGCAACCCCTCGCCATGCAGGCCTGCACCACCACGGCGGCCGCTTCGAGTCGGTCGAGGGCGCGCCGTCTCGCCCCCCTTCCCTCGGCCTCCATCTCTGAGCACGCCTATGACGACGACGGCAAGGATAAGTCGACATGGTTTGTCGCGGGCGGCCCTTATCGTGCTGCCGCTGTAGTCGATGTTGTTGTTCTATTGAGTGGACAATGATCATTCATCCACTCCGCACACGCGTGCCTGCCGGAGTTCAACAGTTTTCTGCCAACTAGTACGAGGCACGACGACGGGTGTGCGGAAACACCGCCTACAATTATTTTTGTAACAAGGAAACTTGAGATGGTGAACGAAAGCATTTTACATTTCTGACAACGCCCAGGAACCAGACCTGGAGCAGATGCCAGTGAGAGAAAACACGTTGGCGGTAGACTGGTGGCGATCGCCACACAACAATGTATCTAACCTCCCCGTTCCGCTTATTGACGTCGGTTCAGACTGAAGCGCACTAGCTGCCGCAGAAAACCATGATTATTTCTGGAGTAATAAAACAAGTCTCGGTTTGTTGAACGAGCGTGCCTCATGATCGGTAGCGGCATGTTTGGCGCCGACTCCCTCACCTCCTTCCCGGCTTGAGAGTTTACGAAGACGTACTTTTGTAGAAGAACCAGCAAGCGCTGGTCGTCTGGTCGAAATCCTCCTAGGTAGTCAACCTCGAACGTTTCGGCCGTTGCCCCCTCTCCCTCTGCTTTTGCCCCAGCCACCTTAGCCGTGGCCCCGCCACCTGCGGGGCTCTTTGCCCCTGCAGCACCGGGTCGTACCCCCAGCTTTGCCGCTTTTTCCGCTCGATTTTCTGTCGTCGGGGTCCTGGAGTTCTCCGCCCTGCTTCTTTTTCCGTCTGCGTTCGTGGGAGACGTCGCCCCGCCTTTCGCGGAGCGGTTGTAGGGACGTTTTGATTTTTTTCCGACGCCGCTCCCACGGTCGGCTTCAACCAATGAGGAGACGGCAGTAGTCGCACCTGGGATGGCTCTGACGAGCACGGCAACACTTTCTTCCTGCGCCGCCGCGGTGGCGGCGTCCGCCAGCCTACGGAGGTCCGGGTGCTGCGTGCCGATATCGTCCAGCGCAGCCAAGAAGCTCGAATACGGGAGATGACTCAGGTCCTGTTTTATTCCCCAAGAGCCGACGGTCCGCAACAAAGGCGCGCACTTGGTCGATCTACCACTAGTCTAACCCTGTGCGCGGGCTGTCTATACGGACGCAGGAAGAAACATTTTTAGGCGCTGTGGTTGATATGCCATGAGAAACGCTGTGGGGCGATTGTGGTTTGCCTTGTATTGCACCATCCATTCTAGGGTTGTTTCTGCTATGCAGTTTTTCGAGTTGCAACAACCCGGAACGCAAGCATATCGTGTGAAGGGAGAAAAATTTAGTTCCGAATAATTTTGTCGAGCAGGTACCGTCGCCCAGCTGAGCATGTACTGTTAGTTTGCACTCAGTCGTTCGCCTGTCGTACGGATGTGGAAACAAAGCGGCTGGCAAAGACATGCAACATACCTTGGGCTTCAGCCTGGAGAAGGAAATCTCCACCCGTTGCACTGGAAAGCGCTTGTCGATGATGCCGGCGTCTTTGCACAAAGCCGCCAGCTTGGCGGCCACCATTCTGCCGGTATTTCGCCGATCTCCGAATCGGCAGTACTTCATGAACGTCTGCATGATAATGGTGGAGGCAAACAGCAATGGTGTGGGCTTCATTGATTTCTGGGGTGGGCTGAATAGTCTCGAAATACCGATCTTGCTGCAGAGTAGTAATGTCACATTTAATCGTGCTGTGCCGCCGCACATCGTGTTGCCAGGTCTCGCCAATGGGATATGCATATGATACAAGAACGCGCGGGAACAAGCACTCCTTCGCGCAAGCGTGCTCGTCACTTTCCCGTGGGGCCAACAACAAATTGCCTCCCCGCCCCTAGCCGTTTCCGATCATGTCTGGCCGTGCCCTACCATCTACTACCCGGACACGGTCCCCCTTTTTCATTTTTCATACCCTATGGAGCTCCAGGTCATCATCAAGGTCCTCTGAACGAGCGCCGTTTAGCAGCTCCTGGTCTTCCCGCCTCCGAATTAGCTGCTCCCACCTGTACTTGCGGCCATACCCATCATCGTGAGTTCCTCCTCAGTCGATAGGTCCCAAAAACTATTACCTAGAACCAAATCCGGCGATTATCTTTGTTTGAAGGAACAGTTCAGACTTCATCACCCCATGGTTGTAGAAAAGTAGAAAGTCAACATGTCAAGTTCTGATGTGGAGAACCCTCGAGTCAGAGCTAGCTGAGAAGAAGCCGCTAGCAGTGAAATGTAGCCCCGAATCCACTTTGTCCATAACCCCCCGCCTAGTGTGACAGGTGTGGTTTTGATGGACCCGTTTCGGTACACTCTAGTGCGAAGGTGTACCGATTCAGGTAAAAGTCAATCGACGGATACGCTGCAAATCGGGTCCTCCTTTGAACACTCTCCACCTACAGAATTTACCCTCAACTGGGAACCTCTTGTGGCCAGGATTGGTAGTTCGATGGAAGTGTCACAAGGTTCTTTGTAGGATCGACTCCAAGATGTGTTCTCAGGTTTGACACACAATACCTCAGGCATGAACCGCAGGAGGGGGTCCAACCCCCCCCTCCAATGTGACCCCGGTTGGGTCGTCTAGCTAGTAGAAGTGGAGGATAGGGGCCAGAGGGGCAGACGACAGAGTCCAATGATGGGAGAAAAACAAAAACAACAAAACAACAACAACATTGTGTCCATGGGAAAATATCCAAGTCAGGAGAAAAAGTGTGCACCCAAGGAGATTCGAACCAGAATCCAGCTGACGCCTACCCTCCCTTCTTCCCCTCGCTCCTCGACAAGCTATTGCTTAGACATGGGTTGTAGTGAAGGGGGGGGTGGGGGGTGTACTCATAGTCGTGCATGCCGTAGTCGTTAGACCATTGACCTCTCATCCCTACAAAGCCGGGACGGAGCACGCCGGGTTCTCACCGGACCAGGCTCTCACATCACCAAGCGCGAAGCGCCGTGAGATATTCGGCGAGTCGCATGAAGGGTGCGCTGCATCCTGCTAAGGGTTTTCGGCATCTTGTGCTTACTTCCTTGCGTACGGATGACAGC